GGGCGCGGATGTGCAGAATTTCTCCAAATCGGAAGAACTGGGAGTAGGCATGACCCTCGAATCATGAGCCCTGTCAACTAACTGTATCACCAATGTAACGTCTGTACATTATAAAATTATACGGGTACCATTCCCCATTTCACCGATTCACCATGTCAAGAAATTTTCAGTGAGGGGGTTCGAGCCCCTCAATCCCTGAAATTAATACTGTACAACGCGGTGTGCTAACCGCAGCGCAATTGCTATCTGAACGCATGAGCGCACAATTCTCTAGATCAAGTGTGACAGTCAGATAGAAGACATCCCCTGCCAGATCGCCCAGCCAGAAAACCGCCCTCCGCCAAAACTATTGGATTCCCGCATCATGAACGGATGCGGGTGACCGCCTCACGAATAGAACACCTCACCGCCGCCAAATTTACATGTCCTTGGCCACCTCGCTACCGCCGCTCGACGAAGTATCCGTCTTGGTGAGCTCATAATCGCCCCCTGGGCCATGGAGACTCTCCTCGAAGACGGGCTCGGGCTCATTGAACTCGAACTTAGTCTTGAGGCTGTCTGCGCCGGCTAGGAAGCCGCTGCTATTGGAGCGGCGACGGGCATTGGCAAAGTTGAAGGGCTCGTCCATGACCTCTTCACCAGCGTTACCCCTAAAAGTCAAAGGTGTTAGTGTTGCTGTTGATCATAGGTGATGCGTGTTATGACAATACTTGATAGAGGCAGTAAAATAATAATAAAAACATTGATAGACAGCAACGACGAAACCAAGCATAGCTAATGGCAACAAATAGGAGATAGTCAACCATACCAGTTGCCTTTTCCACCACCGTTCTTCTTAGTCTTCTTGGGGTCGGTATCGGCGAAGCCATTCTTGGCAAAGAACTTGGGAACATGGTCTCGGGGGTCGACGGTGCCCTCAGCCAGGCCGGCATGATCCTTCTCACCATACTTGTGCGAGCGAGTCACTGTCACCAGAGGAACACCCGGTTAGCTGGGGATGATGTCACAACAGAGGAGGGGACCCTTACTCTTGATCGATTGTGACTGAAGTCGAGGGAGGGAGTCGGATAGAGGAGGGTGAAAGGATCTTGTAGTTGGACTGTTGGGGCGACAGTCAGCGTTGCACAATGACGAGATGATGCGGGGTTGAAAGGAAGATGCGACTTCGAGAGACGTGGCGTGACAACTTACCGTTTGGACGTTGTGATGGGTTGGATGCCACAAAGAGGATAGGGAATTCAAGAGTTGTATGCAGCACGGCGTAGTGTGGAGAAGTGGGAGATATGCTGATTGATCTTGTGTGATGGAGAGATGGAGAAGTGGGATGGAACAGTTGATGGTGATCTGAAGGTCGAAGGGAATCGTGACAGTTTGGAGATCGGGAGCTCCTGGCTTTTAAACGATGGACACTCCATAAGATTCGATCAGGCGAGCAGCCCCAATGGGAAGGAACAGGGGGGGCTGCGGTAATGCGGTACGCGGCATTAGGGGAAAGGCAAGGAGGCGCTGGAAAGACCATCGCGTGACTTGGGGATTGAACTGGGCTGACTGGGGAGCTCGCCATACCAGGCCCTGGAGCTCGCCAGAGCTGAGCATCGAGGCATGTTTAAACGGCCATAGCTGATGCGAATGGAGAGAAAAAAGCTCAATTTACCCATAGTATGATTTGCAGATCGTTGCCGTTCCAATTGCTATATTTTGTGACCACATTCGGCCTGCGATATCTCTGCTTTTGCCTCCAGAATCCTGTGCAGTTGTCCCTCTTCACCTCAGTCACCGTGTCTCCCCACACAAAGGCGATGACCCATGACGGGATGCGACCCGGACGCGTGTGACATCAGTCCCCACAGCAAGTCCCCAGGACCGCTTACCCCCTGTCTCCCCGGCGAAACGCGGGGTATGGAGTACAGACCCGGTCACTATGCCGCTAGCAGACTAGCGCCAGAAACCTGCTGGGCACCGTTCTGGGGCATTCTGGGGTGATAATTGGCGACAATTGGGGGGCTGAATGTCTGTGCTCACAACTGGAACCTTCTGTGTCAGTGGAAGCTCCCTGGTTTCGAGCTGTGTTTTGTTCGACAGCACCGTTGCGACCGCAAGAAATGAGTGATGAACCAGGGGCACCACAATGAGGCTTTGGCTTCTCAGGTGGACAGACAGCTTGCTCAGAGGAACAATTGACTTGGCTCTTCCCCACTAACCTAGATTCGTCATTCATAGGTTCCAGGGTCCATGAGGTAATCAGGTGGCTAGCCCAATGACTCAAACATCTCGTGGTCAACCATGGGGCGGACCATAGACCTAGAGCCTTCCAAGGACGCCTGAGGTATCCAGAGTTCTGTGTTTCTCTCAGTAGCAACTGAATCCGTTGTGCAGTGTAGCGTAAGGGTTCAGTCTAGTGGGGGCTCCTTTGCATCAGCAATAAAAAGACCGCTTGGCTTGATCCCAAATTTCGATGGCCTTTGCGAATAGCGCTGTCTTTTCGCGGGGCGGGCCGCGCAGTGCTGGAGGAGTCATGCTTTCCGCTGTTTCCCTCCCCGGAGAGGAATGAGTCCCCAACAAGAAAACCAGCTCATCAGGTACGATCGGTTAATCGAACAGTCATGAAGGAATCGCGCGTTTCAATATCACTTCCGTGCGTCATCGAACGTTTTCTGGGTCGTTGCGCTCGGCAGTGGTGGGGGTCAACCGTTGGCCGACATCGGTGGTTTCCGCAAGTCGGCCTCTGACAGCTGAAGAGTAACTAGTAGTGCTAATCATATAGTTTAGCGGGGGAATCCATATAGTCTCTTACTTCTCATCACTACCTTAATAAATGCACTGTTTGCGTGCTTTATACGGGTCGGTGATAGGTTGCAGCTGGGGGAGGGGTGGCAAGGCTTTGTAATGCAAACCAGCATCTCCGCTGCTGGCGAGGGGCTAAGATTTTTCTTATCCTTGCGCACATGTCACGAATCGCATACAGTAGCTTCGAACCCTGAACTTTCGTTCTCTTCAGCATTTTGACATTTCGGGAACGTGCCAGGCTGCAACAAAAGGATCACGCAAGCAACAAACTCCCACCCCAAACATCAACTGTCAGCCCATTCCCTACCGCCCAGGCGAACCCACCAAAATGTCTCCCATCGTCATCGACCTCTCTGACGATTTCAACCCCGCCACCACCAACACAACCCCGCCTTCCAATGGCAACGGCTCCTCCCCAAACCGCACCCTCCTGCTCGCGCCCCCCTCCATCGCCGCCCACGAGGAGCGCCTCAGCGCCCTCTTCTCCTCCGAGTTCGACCGCGCCAACACCGACCTGCACATGCTCGACCGCCTCGCCGCGGGGCTCGTGACGCTGCCCTCGACCACGTACGACCTCGTGCTCGTGCTGACCGACCCGGACGGCGCACGGCACGACGAGGCCGCGGTCCTGCTCGCCCGTCGCGATGTCTGGTCGCGTCTGGTGCCGGCGCTCAAGCCCGGCGGCAAGCTGAGGAGCGAGGACGGGAGTTTGGGGTCGGGCAGCGGTGCGCCCGCGGCGCGGGAGGCGGTGCTGGCTGGGTTGGTCTCCGCTGGCACCGAGGGTGGATTCATAAAGCCCGATTATGCGGAAGAGGAGGCCGTGCCGTTGCGCTTTGGGCTGAAGAGGAAGACCGTCCCGGCTTCTGCTGCGGCACCTGCTCCGGTAGTCGCGCCTCCTGTTGCGGTGGCGCCTGCCGGTGTCGGCTTCGTCGACTTTAGCGATGATCTTGATCTGGATGCCGAAGATGATGAAGATGATGCGCTTATCGACGAGGATACCTTGTTGACGGAGGAGGACCTGATGAGGCCGATTCCGCAACCGGCCGAGTGCCAGCCGCAGCCAGGCAAGAAGAGGAGGGCTTGCAAGGACTGTACATGCGGATTGGCTGAGCGCATCGAGGCCGAGGACAAGGCGCGGCGGGCCAAGGCGGATAAGGACATCAATGCGCTCAAACTCAAGTCGTCTGACTTGAACGAGCTCGAGCTCGACCTGACGGTCCAGGGTAAGACAGGATCGTGCAACTCGTGCTACCTGGGAGATGCGTTCCGTTGTGCGGATTGGTATGTCTTATTTGCCTCCATCATCCATCTATAACTGTGTCCTAACTGCTTGATAGCCCGTACACTGGACTGCCGGCATTCAAGCCGGGCGAGGAGGTTAAGATTCTGAACAACGTGGCGCAGTTCTGATTGAAGAGTAGCCTCGCTTGGCATCAACCGTCAAATACCTGATCCGCGCTTTGGTGCCGGGGCGCTTCAATAGCCTAGCGGCCTATACCGTGGCGAGTGCCGCCCTTCAAGAGAGCCGGAGGATGGTGTCCTTTAGGAGTTAGGGGTTTAGGGGTCGTCGCTCCCACGCGCACTTGCATTTGCGGCGGGATGGGTTGACCACTGCCTTGGGCGGTCAAGGATTCACATGCCCGTGAGAAGTCCGGGAGAGTGACAGTATCATCAAACAGGCAGGCAGGCAGGCACAAAAAAAGACAGTTGCTAAAAGTTCGACGACTTCCGTTGAGAGCGATGATATTTCAGGGCTTTAGTTGGAGCCTCTAAATCCAGTATGACAATGGTTAGAAGGGATATAGCTTCGTGAGTAAAGGCCAGAGCTCCAACACAAGCTTTACTTATCTGGGGTGTGCGGAGTGCCAAGTTCCCAATTGTTTCCAGCTAGACTCGGCACAACTTGGTACTTACTGGTACACTGCATTTCCAAAATGAAAAAGAAGCAAGATAAAACGCGGAGGAGACACACTATCTAATGCAGCAACATAGAAAGTAGTTGGAGCGGTTGGTAGTCTCATCCTGACATAACGTTGACCTCCTCCGAGGGGTCGTTTTGCATCCCAAGGTAAACAAAAGAAACCGAAGTGCCGGCGGTTCTAACCACAAATGCTCAAACGGGCATCTATCTAGTATTAACCAGATGCCAATTTACCTGCAGAATCTGCATGAGTGCCAAAAATGAACCCAACCTAGCGATTGAGCTGGTGCTTCGACAACGGCATGATTCGAACATGCGCCTCCGAGGAGATTTGATACACTCGACAGTTCGAGTCAAACGCATTAGACCACTCTGCCACGTTGCCAGGGAAGTATCCATATTGAAATGATTTGTTGAAAGCTGCAAGGTTGCACTCCATTGTGTAGGCGGAGCTGCTTTGCATGCCAAGAGTTGAGGTTGTATTGTTCTTCACAGGAGATGCTCCGCTAACAATTTAGGGAGCAGGGTAAGGTAGGGTCTTGCGGACCTGTGCCCCACGGCGGGACACCCACGGGCGCACCACGAGTCAGCTGAATGGATCCATTGGCGAGCTGTGTTATCTTCGAGATTTCTCAGTAACAAATACCTTGGGATTTACTTGCGTGCCCTTTCACAGGAGGAATGTGGAGTGGTAAGCTCTGTACCCAGGCGTATCTCTGACTTCAACATGAACCGATAAGAAATACGCCTGGCAACGAGACCTCTGGGACACCACGACTACCCACAAGACGTCAAGAAGCATTTTATGCATCCAGTTCAATAAGTCTATCCGTCCTTCACATTCATTCACCGGGAGTATCAAATCAAGTATTTACACATGTTATTTTAGTGTGACAAAAACACCCCTGTCCGCCAAACAAGAGACTGTCCCTCTCAGACGCCTCGGCTTGATTACCTTGACCCTCGCATAATGATATGAGTTGAATGGCACAGCGAAATGCAAACCAGACCTCCTGACAACCACTCATACCCTACTGGCCTGGCCATTTCCATGGGCCTTTTCCTTCTCATGATCTTCCTCGTCGCTCGCCCCACCTACACTATACCGATCATCGTGTGCGGCGTCTGTGGGGGTTTGGAGATGCAGATCATCAAGCTCGCTCTCATCAAAATCGCCCGCTTCAACGTCCCGGTTCGTCCGCTTGTTCCGAAAATTCTCCAGTCCAGCGCCCCGGCTCCTATCCGCCGTGGCAAGCCTTCCGATGGGGGCAGCCCCATTCTCTGCACCCGCGAGGCCCTGGTATCCCGCCCGGCGACGGCGATCACGCCACACATAGTAGCCCCAAACCACTGCTGCGACAGCAACAATAACCAAGACGATCTCACCCGACTTGCGGTAGGCTTGCCACTTGGCTGCGTCAAGCTTAGCCTTCTCAGCCTCCTGATCCGCGGTTCCGTTGCCGGCTGCGCCGCCGACCGTCGTCTCGGGGCCCTTTTCGCCATCGAGACGGCTGTCTGTCGGCTGGCCGCCGATACTGCTGATATCGACGCGCATGAAACGGTCGAGCATGTCACGCGTGCGGCGGGCGTAGTCAAAAGGTACCATGTGGCTGCTGTTGTTAAAGAGCACATACGTCAGGTTGCGAGCCTGCTGCCAGAAGCCTGCCGGCTCGCCTTCAAAGGTCCAATCGCGACGCGGGGCCCAGTTGCCGGGAGAGAGCTCGAATCCGCGGCCGCCGTTCCAGGCCATGTTGCTGATGAGCGACTCGGTACCCAAGTGGTTGCAAATCAGATCCTCGGCACCCGAGAAGAGCACGACGGGCACCTCGGCGAGGATATCGGGAAGGAAATCAATCGAGGGTGCTGAGTTGGTGGCGCGGAACTGCGTGCCCACGTTTCCGTTGCACTCTGTCCAGCCCGTGCTCTTGTTGGGGTCGACGTGAAGCGCCTCGGTTACGTCCTTGCGGCGCAGGTACGGCGTCACGGATTTCAGGTCAGGGGGCCAGTTCATGCCGCAAGACGGGTAGGTGTCCCTTAGGCGCACATCATACATGTTAAGGCACTGCAGTCTGCCATCCGACCCAGGTGTCGCTGTCAACTGCAGCATGTTCTGCAAGATTGCCTCGCACGATGAGTGGTCGACGCTCGACTTGCTGATGGCGAGTTCCTTTTGGCAGATTCGGTGCTGGACCTCGAGCTTGTCCGCAATATTGGTTCCCTTCTGAACCAGACCCTTCTCGTATGCAAACTGGAGGTATGCCTCATACTGCTCTTTCGGAGAAATCCACCCATTGCCGATGAGAAGGCCCATCAGATTCCACTTGTGTTTGGTGTTGGGGAGTTTGTTGCGCGCGAGGATAGCTTTGGCGATATAGGGAATATGCTGGCCGGCGTAGGACTCGCCAGCAATGTAGAGCTAAAACGATGTTAGGCGGCGTACAGAGAGAAGACTAGGGTTAACTCACATCGTCGTGTTCATACTCGGGGAACAGGTCGAACCACTTCTCCAGGAAGATTATGAACTGCCTGGCCATCTCGTCGAGTTCCGTAACGTAGCTGTCAGTGTCGGCATAGCTGTAACCGGTACCAACGGGGTTGTCAACAAACATGACATTGGCGAACTCGTTCCAGGACCCGTCATTGTAGACGAGTGTGTTCTCGTCCTTCAGTCGATAGGGGCCGATTTCCATCAATGCGCCATCCTCCGAGCTGCATCCGGGACCTCCATTAAGCCATATGACTGTCCGTTGCTTGTTCGCGATATGTTTGTTTTGAAAATGCCAGAAGAAGAGGTTGCCGTTGTGTTCGGGGGTAACCTCGATGTGCCTATGCGCAAAACGACACCACGTCAGCTTGGTTCGATGCCGTCGCAAAACCGAGGAACGGAAGAGAACGGAAGAGGGAGTGGCCTACCCGGCATGCATCTTCAGTAGAGGGCCTTCGGGTGCGCCTGGTAATGAATGGACGAAATAGTCGCCGGCGGCGGGGCCGGCGACTACCGAGGCGGTCCATGACAGCGTGAGGGCGGCGATGAGGACGGCGGGAAGCTGTTTCCAGCGCCCCGGCGATTGACCTCCGGCCATGACGGGCGAAGGGGTACACGGGTCGCGCGAGTCCCAAGACAACACGACCCGATTACGACTTAATCAAAAAGAAGATACCCCCAAGAAGGAGTGACGGTGTTCGTTGGCTTCCTGGCGGCGCCAACTACATACAGTCATGGGAAGCAAAAAAAGGGAAAATAGATGCGAAATTCGATGAGACGGCACGAAATGGGAAGCGCAGATGTGTCCTTGACGTATCGGGACGGCTGATGTTGGGTCCAGTGCGCAAGTTGCGGGAAGTGGAGACTGATGGGTGCTGCAAGCCCCCAATGATCGCTGTCAGTTCAGCCAAACGCGTTGCAAGGGGGCCTAGACGGGAAAGGCGCTGCACTACGGCTGCGATCAAGATTGAGGCATTCACTAACATCAACCTGGAAAGGTCTCGGAATGCGCGGCAAGCTGCGTAAGCAGAAACGCGGGCAGGCAGCGGAACATATCGTTTACGTTCAGATTCATGGCCAGGAGAACTCATTGTTATTGCGAGCCGCTTTCAGGGTAAAGTACATGGTGAAATCGACCGCGTTTCACACTCGGCCAAGTCCGAGGTGTTCCTGGGAGACCTGGGATGTAAAGACAGACAAAGCGTTGACAAACCCTTGCCGGATGGGGTTCTCAATAGCGCGGACATATTGTCAACACAAAAGGGGATAGGGATAGTTGATATATGGTGCATAGCATCCAAACTGCCGTCATCGATCTTCCTCTAGATAACCACTGGACATTTGAGTAGATTCGTAGCAGAAAACTTGAAGCATTAGACAGGAAAGAGGTACCGAGTAACCAGCTCGGTTTTGTGTTTTGCAGGCGCCCCCAGGTCTTGGCAACGGGTGTGCAGGGGTCCACCATGATCCAAACCCAAATTCTGATTCTGATCACGAATGCAAAAAGAATTTGGGCCTGCCCTGAACAGCCCATAGCACACGACACTACAAATCGATTAGAATATTTTGTTCGTCTATTAAACTAAGGCATCTCGCTCATACTTCTCTCACTAGGCCCGACATCAAACAGCTGGAAACCCGGCAGCAGCGATCCCCAAGCCGGCTGCTTTGCTGCCCGACGTCTCGCTGTGATCGCTGTGTCTGTGAGGACTTCTTGAGCCCATCTTTCACTATGACTTCAGCCGACGGCAAAACGTATATCGTTGAGCACCTTGACGAAGAACTCGGGCCCTGGTCTGAGCTCGAGTATCTCGCCATCGCACTCGAGTCGCACGATGCCGGAGCCAAGTTTTTTCTTTCGTCCCTTCCGCCGTCGTTCAAGGTCCCTGAAGCCTTGAACGCCGTTTCTTCATTTACCCCAGAGACTCGGAGCGTCGAGGAAATCTATGCCAGCGACAAGTCACGAGTGTGCCTTCTGGATCCCGCTGCAGCCAAGGACTTGTCACCCGAGGATGGAGAAAGCTTTGATGTCTTTCTGTTCGGTGGTATTCTGGGTATGTTTTTGCAACTGGAAAGGGGCAAGTCAGATTACGGACATGTGTTGACATAGCTATAGGAGATGACCCCCCTAGAGGTAAGAAGCTCCGTGCCTACTACGTTGGCTGGGCCGAGTCTGACGAGAGAATAGACAGGACATCCGAATTGCGGAAGAAGGGCTTTGAGGGCCGCCGACTTGGGCCCAAGCAGATGACTACCGACACGGCAGTCCGTGTTACCCGCATGGTGGTTGAGGGCAAAAGTTTGTTTAGTTGACTACCCAAATTGCCTTTCATGCCTAACTAAGCCCGCAGCTCCTTTGTTGGACGTCCCTTATCTGGATTACCCTGAGCTCAAGTTCAACGAGCACGAGAGCACCGAAATGCCGTTCCGATATGTTGCAGGCAAGGATGGAAAACCCATCATGCCCAAGGTAAACTATTCTCCAAGCGATACTCTACATGATGCTAATTATTTAGGGCATGGTGGAACTCATTGGCAAAGATGGCGACAAGACCCTGGACGACATGTTTTGACAAAAAATGGACAACATGGGCAGCCTTTAAAACCACTGTTGGTCTATTCCTGAGATATCGGAACATTTGAAACCTACAGAGTTATGGTGATCCCCAGCAAGCAGCTCCGCTGCCCGGTATACCTCAAGCGGGGCTCTACTATAGCTGCTGTTATCTTATCTTAGTGAACCCGTAACCCCGCCCCCAACGTCTAGCAAACCCCCGTCTTGTGATCCGGGTTTGTCTTGCATACAGAGAGTGTGGCACGATCCCGCAAATCAAGTGATCTGGTACCCAGCATCAATGTAGAGGGAGGGAAGGAGATGAGTGACGAACCCATAATGGCGG